GAGGCAGTCATCCTGTCCGTAATCCCCGTCACCAAACACTCATTTGGTTATCAGAAACATTTCGGAGCCCTTGAGATTAATGGCTGGTGGCATGTAAACAGAGCCTTATATTGGGAAGACGGAGTTACCGGAAGGCCAGTGCACAGCAGGAGAAGACCGAGGCGGGCCCCTGTCCCTTGCAGTCCCGGCGATCCCCAAAGAAAGTCCCGGGATGGGCAACAGCCTGAAAGCCATAGTTGCTTTTGTGCCCTCCGACGAGTGCCAGAAGTACCTCCTGGAAGACCTAGAAGAGATGCCAGTGGATAAAATGGTGGACCTGAGCGGCAGGCAGCTGAGCCTCTGCACATTTGCTCTTTTAGGGAACTGGTGAAGCTGTACCTGAGCGACAACAACCTGAACCATCTGCCCCCCGAGCTGGAGCAGCTGCAAAACCTGCAGATCCTGGCGCTGGACTTCAACAATTTCAAAGCGCTGCCCCTGGTCGTGTGCACGCTGAAGCAGCTGTGCATCCTCTACCTGGGCAACAACAAGCTCTGCAGCCTGCCCCTGGAGCTCCGGCTCCTGCAGAACCTCAAGGCCCTCTGGATCGAGTCCAACTGCCTGCACTGCCTGCCCGAGGTGGTGTGCGAGCTCAGCCTGCTCAAGACCCTGCACGCCGGCTCCAATGCGCTGTCCCCGCCCAGCTGCGGTGCCTGCGGGAGCTGCGCACCATCTGGCTCTCGAGCAACCTGCTGTCCGAGTTCCCCCCCGTGCTCCTGGACATGCCTTCTCTGGAGGTGATCGACGTGGATCGCAACTCCATCCGGTTCTTCCCCAGCCTGGTTCAACTCCCCGGCCTGAAGCTGGTGATCTACGACCACAACCCCTGCAGGAACGCACCCAAGGTGGCCAAAGGGGTGCGCAGGGTGGGGAGGTGGTCAGAGGAGAGCCCCGAACCCCGCAAGCGGTCCGGGGCGGTGGTAGAAATCACGCTCATTGAGAAACCATCGCCGTCTCCTGCCACCAGGCTCGAGGCAGAAGCCGAGCCCTGCTGACGCTCAGCCGCCTGTGCCGGCAAAGGCACAGAGCACCCACAACGCCAGCCAACCTCTCCCTCTCCCTCGCTTGCCGGTGTCGGGGAGCACCGTGCCGCACCGTGCCGCCTGGCTAGTCTTCAGGAGTAGGTGCGCCAGTTTAGACCTAGGCGACAGCAAAACTCTCTTGTACCGACCCCCCTTTTTGCACAGCACCCGCCACTCCCTCTAGAGCAAAGACTTCCTCCCTTTCCCCTTCCTCCCATGCGGTGACCGCTCAAGAGTTCGCAGCAGAGATGAAGACGTAGTTTAGATGTTTTCCACGGGTGGATCGTACAGAGCACGTACGGACTCGCTGCTCTTTGGGCCGCCCGTGGGCTCGCTCGTCTCCCCTCCACCTTGCTGAGGTGTCTGAGCTCAGCTGGAAGCCGCTGTTCAAGGTGATGGTCGCTGCTGGGAGTCACAGCCCTAAAGTAACCCGCAGCATTTGTCACAAATGACTTCTCTGAAGCGCAGCAGCAACCTGAAGGTTTCCCTGCCTGCCGTGTAGGAAGCGTTAGCGGAGCCCTGGTTGCACTATCAAGGAAACAGCATGTAAGTACCAGGGAGCTCTCCTCTTACCGCTGCCGCCACCTTCCTGGAAAATTAGCGACCACTCTTGTTTTGTTATTGCCAAGCAGCATTTTAAATGATGGCGAGGAAAGCTAGAGGCTTTGGTGCTAGTTTTTATGTTACTACAGCTGCCCTTAGAGGCAGCGTTGTCGCACACCGAGTTTTCATGCAGTAGCAAAGAAGAAAATCAAAGCCTGACTAAAATGGAAAAACCACGAGAGCTGCAAAGGTAAACTTGCATGAATAAAGCCCGGGGCTGGGAGCCTGCCGCTACAGGCTCGCACAGGAGCTGAGGCGAACTTTACTCAATTGACCTCAGCTGGGTATTTCTCCAGCTTACAACTCCGACCAGTTCAGATTCCCTTGGAAACACACTGGTTTGGGGGTTTTTTTGGAGCATGCTTTGCTTTAATTGTGTAACACAGAAATCTGGCTCCAAATGACATTTTTAGCTTTTGATTCCATAGCATGGATCATTGAGTTTGGTAAATACAGCTTTTTTTTAAAAGGGTGGGGAGCCCTCGGTGGTGCAGCAGCCACTTCGCTTCTCCGCCTCACTCGTCAGCGGAGCCGCCTCACCAGCGCAGCCTGCAGAAACAGCAGTTGAATTCCCAGAAAAGGTTTGATTCCATGCCAGTTCATGACGGCTTAACATCATTTACATGCTTGAAAAATTATCGGGAAATATACAGACTCTGCTAGCGCTTGCTGTCTTGCTAAATGAAGTCTGAATTTGGATCTGGCTGGCACTCGTGTAGTGTGCTGACTATTCGTTAAATGAAATAAAGTGTACTAACATCTTGCCGAGTTAAACCATCCTTCTTTGGAATTAACTGAATTCTCTCTTTCCAAATTCTTTATCTAACCTTGTTCCAACAAACTATTTCTTCCTACAAAACAAAATTATTCAACAGGATGAGAGTTGGGGGCTGTTTTAACATCCAAGTTCAATGTTTTATTCCCTATGGAACAGGTTGGTACTTCGTTTATCTGAGGGGGTGGGGAACAAGATGCTTTCAGCTGCTCACCGATGGTTAGCGTTTAACCCAGCACTCCCTACACGCTATTGCCACCTTTGGAGATCTGAGGAGAGTCTGTTCTGAGAGTTTGGAGGAGTGTTCTGTAAGCAGATTCTCTTCATTTCAGGAAACCTAAGGGAGAAAAATGTTTCCACAGATACTTTCTTGATTTCCAATTAATCTTCCTGCTTTGGCAGACTCCCCCCGTGTTTGCCAAGGTGCTGCACTATACTTGCAAGGGCCAGAAGGGTCGCAACGCCCAGCCGGCACCTCTCAGCGGGCTCCGCACAGACGGGCGCCTCTGCTTACAGTCATCAAGAATCTGCGCAAAGACTGCTGCAGGCACCACGGGCTTCTTTACGACCTGAGCATAAACTGGTCCAGTTGAGCAACACAGTGCCTTTGCAGCAACTACTGGAATAGGAAAGAGAATATAAAGATAGGCCACAAGAGACGTGAAAGCGGGGGTAGGGAAGAAAACAGGAACACAATGCAGCCTGGCACTTTTTCCACTAACCGCCCTCTGTTACAGTAATAGGCGTTCGCAAAGTCAGCCCGAGTCCAGTACTTCACAGTCAAACGCACAGACTGTTTGGGCCAGGACGCTGACCCTCTCTCCTAGACTGCATCTTCCTCTCAAGCCCCCTCAGCAGAACTCCTAACTGCATAAAATTTGTAGTGTAAAAAGCTGTGAAATCCCTTAAGTTGTAGTTCTGGGCATTGACCAAGGTTCCTCTTCAGCTTTTTCTCTTCCTTTTTTCATCAAAAAATGAGTAATACTCTGGTATCACTAGAAAAGGGTAACATTTAACTTCAGAGACTATTTCTAGGGTCCCAACTCGAAACCTATACAGCCAGGACTGGAATAAACCACTCGCACTAAATGCGCCAAAGTCAACCGGAGCCAGCAAGCTACAAAGGCTTGAGAGGTCGTCCTTAGCGCTGCCTGCCTGGTCACCGCTTGAACCATCTGAGGACACGCACCACCATTCCTCTAACGAAACTGCCCTTCTTGGTTCTACACACAGACAACTTTGATGGATTTGAACTTATTTTATTTCTGCGTATTTTAAGTGGAACCTGGAGAGGAACAGAAGGAATTAGGGTTGTATAAAACCCCTGTTTTACTTGAAAGTGAATCTTCCCCACAACACATGTAAACTGAAATAAGTTAAAACCAACTGAAGACAGTTACTTCATGCCATTGATGGAGATGCTTGTCTCAAGCTTCTGTTCCATAACCTCACAAAAGTTAGATCATTAAAAAAAATTACTAGGTGAGATCTGGTCCACACATCCTCAGCTACTGAAGAAAATTTAACATGGGCGATGGTCTGGTACACGTTTTCTGGGAAGAAAAAGAAAAAAAATTCAGAAAATTCCCCCTGATGCTGATGACCACCACCCACCCACCCACCCCTATTTTTAATTTTTAGTTGATCTTTTGTGTTCAGTGCTAGCTTTATCTCACAGCACAAAAGGCAGTATCATCTCAAAGCTAATGCACCACCTTTGACTGCAGTAAAAACCTGTGATTCACAAACAGTGCACATTACCTGGTAGCAGGCACGCATGGGATCTGCTTGTGGGCAAGTTTAATTTCTTCCCAAACCTTTCAACAAATGAGTTTTTGTTTTAGCTGCCAATTCCACTTCAGAAGCAGCTGTGCATTTAACTACAATTTTTCCCAAAAGAAAAAAACGCAGCATGATCCCTTACATTTTGGTCAGCCACTTCTGCCAATGTTTTAGTACTATATATGGCACATGAGTAGCTGGTGACCTAAGATTAACTAGGCACTGCTCAGGCACGCTAATTTAAGCGCACTGATGGCTCTAAAGGCCTGTTTGTACTCCCAATGCAAAAAATCATGCAACATGAACATTAGCATGTCAGATGTCAGTCTTCATGTCAAATAAAATATCTTTTAGAACAAGACTCTTCTACGCAGTTACTCTTTCACAGAAGATTACTCTATACCATTTTAACTGACCAATGTAGATACTCAAATCATACCTTGGTGCTGCTTTAATAATGTCATCTACACGAAGAATCATTTCTGCTGCTTCAGCTGCACTCAGCAAAACTTGTCTCTTAACTTGGAAACTTTCTGTTACTCCCAAGACTGCCATGTCTCCAATGATACCCTCTTTCATATCTAGGAGAGGAGACACATTAAGAGCTTGTTTGGGGTGAGTTTTTTTAACTTTCTTTTTTTTTTAAAGGAAATTACAAGAAACGGACAGCATGGTAACTTACCTGCTCAAATGAACCATACTGACAGTAAGGGAAGTATGAAATCTTAAATTATAAAGTCTTTCACTTCAAGGCTCCTGATTTAAGCCCAACATGTTGCAGTTACATGAAAAAAATTAATGATGAAAAATTTATACACTGAGAAAAGGAGACAAGATTCCAGCAGGACTCTCAGCACGATTTCCTTAGGTATATCAACTTCAGAATTCTTCTCAAAAACTTTTTTTTTTTAAGCTGGGGAGGGGAGGGGTTGGGTCATCTTGTTTTTTTCTTTTTGAGCTTCATATAACTAGACTCAATGTAAGTAAGGAAAGCGGTTTACAGGTGGAAACCATCCCCTTCAAAAACAAAGCTTTTCACTCTACTGTGAAAAGCCTGGTAGAATGATAAAGGAATGTAGCGCTGTATGCCTACATTCTATGCAAAGCAAACAGAAATCAACGTATTCAGTTCTTGCAGCTGAATATATCAGTGACAAACAGATGTGACCAAGTTTAGTAAGCCTAATCCCCCTCCCAAACACCAATCCAATAACAGTAGTATCAAGCACCTTACCAAGCCCGTAAGTAGTCTTCCCTTCACTGTGAGCAGCTCTGAGCTGAGCAACCAAATCTGCACTGTCATAGCCAGCATTATCAGCTATTATTGTTGGGATCTAAGGGGATAAACACAGCTTGTTTTTAATGCCTGCAGGGACTGATCCCTAGTAAACATGAAATACACTTTGGTATACTAGTTTACTATTAAGTATCAAGAAAAGAAGTTTCAAAAACATGGCAGATGATCTGTTACAGTGATCAGGAGCTTAGGAGCTGGGGGAGCGAAATCAAACTACCTTTCAAAGGATTTTGTTCAAGACCTTGTTAAGACAGTAGATGAGAGGACAGAAGCTCATTAGCAGATTTGTCACTTCATTTTACATGAACAGAAAGAAATCTGTCTCTTTGTTATCATTTCAGAATACAACTGGAGAAGGAGAAATGGTTTCATTTTAAGAACATAAGCTTGCTGGTAAGCCTTAAACACCACATCATTCCATTCACTGTTTAAGTGACAGCAGTGCAAGTTGCACGTGCTGACTGAATCATAGAATCGTTTAGGTTGGAAAAGACCTTTAAGATCACTGAGTCCAAC